ATGCGATGACACGTGGATTAAAATTAAGAATTAAAAAAAAACAAACTTAAAAACAGATTTATTGTGTCTAACGCTTCAACCTCAATCATAAAATATAATAATAGCCAATTAAAGCTTCAGTAAAATTATTTATTGCATTTACCTGATGCTTTATAATTACTTTCATTCGTTCATTTACAGCATTCATCAATAGATTGCAATTAAAAATGGTGGTTTTCAGCAACTTGCAGTTAAAAATGAAATGAGTAATATTCAAATTAAAATTAAGCCTTTTTTTTATTTTCTTAATGCTTAGTTCCTATTTTTCAAATACGTTTTTTTTCGTGATTTTCTGTAAATTTTTTAGAGAATTTATTCAGCTACTTTTAAAATTTTTTTTTAAAAAACTTGTTAGTATAAACCACTATAGTGCTAAAAAACATAAAAGAAGGACGCGTGTTCTTCAGAGAGCAGAAAAATGGCAACTCTCTCGTACAAACGATTTTAGCGCTATACTGCGGTTAAAGGCTTAACTATTAAATGGGCGAGTTTATCATTTGCTTTCTCTTTATTTTTAATTGAATTTATGAGTTTTATTTTAGTTCCATAAAAAGCTTATACGATAAAGTTTTAAGGATGTCATATGTTAAGACGACATAAGGTACCTACATTTTCTAAAGTTAATTACGATTTATTTTAAATATATTAACATCTCACCATTTTTCTTTGTCTTTAGTTTATTACAATGGTAAACAAAATTGATATTTATGCGGTTAACTTGTGCCATTAATCCTTATAAACTGAAAATTAAATTCCGAAAAGCATTATTACTATAGGTATTTTCTTTTCTCTGTTTAATGTAATTTATAGTATGATGAACTTAAATAAAAAAGAGGAAATAAAAATATAACATGCATACTTTTTACGTTTAGTAGAACTAAAATCCAAGATAAAAAAGTTTTTAAAATTCACTTATCTTAGAGTTTAGTTTTACTAAACGTAGATTAATTAGAATTGATTGATTAGAAATTGATTTGAAAATTGTAGAATTGATTTGAAAACTTTATATTTCAGCACAAATTGCCAATAAAAAAATTCAAAGCACAAAAATAAATTGCCGCAACTCTATTTTTGTTCAATAATATTTCTTGAAAACTTAAAATATAAAGATAATTCTTGTGCATACACACAGAATTTTCTTTTTCGTTTATGTTCTAAATATTATCGTGCATGGTATAATCGTACGATACAAAACATAGAATAGAAACACAGCATAATGAACAGTTGGGGTTCAAGCATTCATATCTACAGTGTGAACTAACAGTTTCTAGTGTAGCTAGAGGGAGCAAGAGCTTGTTGGGATAAGAGAAACTTTTAGAAAAGCGTCGTGATGACGTCAAATTGATTGTCTATACATATTATCGTTCATGGCATAAATATTAGATAATCTTTTGTTACATAAATAAATAAAAAATTCTATTGATAATTGGCTTAGGCGTATAAAAATGAATGGAATAAGTCTTCGGTAATTTTAAATGTAGTTATTTCTAATTGTTGTAGTAAAAATATTTTAAAAAATTGACAAAATGTAACTTTTTTTAATGAGTATTTGTTTAAATGGATTGCCCCGAAAAGAAATAGCTTTTCTTAGATTGGTAACGCCATCTGTGTAAACAGTGATAGAAGTTGTCTGCTATGCTTAGTCAATACTTCAGGTTATTAATATTTTCAAAACCAATTTATGAAATAAGATATTTGCTTTAAAATATAATTATTTAAAATATAAAATATTATTAGTATCTTTAATTTACCTTTAAAAACTCCCCAGGGTGAGATATTCGAAATAATGACTTACGTATCTTTAGTTTTCTATTATAATGATAAAATCAATGGAAATATTTTGAAGGTCATTCTTTACAAAATCAAAATTCAATTCCATTCCAAAACTGCTAAAAAATACTTAATATCTAAAGATGCTTAATATTTTGAGCCTATGTTTAACTGAACGATTGAAAAATGGAACACAGAAATATTTAAAACTAGGAAAAATTCGAGTTAATAAATTAACTGTTAACACGTTGAATGCCATGGGGGTCACCGCTGACCGGCACTGAGTTTGATCGCGTCGTCACGGGGGTCATCAGTGACCGGCGAAGACAAGATTATTTTATAAGGCAAAGTACGAAATTTGGACAAAATCTATCAAATGGTTACTGAGAAATCGAATTTCAAATATAAATTATTTTTTTTTAGAAAAATGCAATTTCTCCAAAACTATTCGACCTACTTCGTTCAAATTTCGAATTTTACCATTTAAAATTATATTCTTTAAACCGATGTAAAAAAGTTAAAACAAATTTAAGAAAATATCATATGACCATCATATAACGCCATCTATTACCATCTATGGCCTCTTACGTCGCACCCGTTTATAGGGTGGACCAGGGCCGGATTAACCTATAGGCACACTAGGCACGTGCCTAGGGCCTACGAAATTCAGAGGCCTACGAAAAACTTGGGAGAAAAAAATTTGTTGACAAAAATAATTTAGCTTTAAAAACAACAAGTGTATTTTGCACAAAATTATGAAGATACAAATAAAAATATAATATTTTTCGGTAATAAATTATTTTGCAGAATCTTATGATCTAATATATTACTTTTTTGCGATTTTTGGATTCAACGAAATCTTGTATTATGCTGTCGAATTCCAAACTACGCAAAATGTCGTATTCAATAGACATAAGTGCGAGCGATGCCAAACGATCTTGATTCATTGTTGAACGCAAATAATTTTTTATCAATTTTAATCTGGAGAAAGATCTTTCTCCTTCTGCATTTGATCCAAGAATCGACAAATATATTCTTAATGCAATGTGAACGTTAGGAAAAGTATTCACAAGTTTATCTTTAATTTCAGCCTTCAGCATTTCTTGTGCAGATTTATGTTCATCTAAATTTGAAAATAGTAAAAATTCATCTACAAAGTTTTTCTCTAAATCGGATGAGTAAATTTTCACCAAATTTTGCGCTTTTAGTTTAATCTCAGATTCTGACAAATCTTTGTGTAATTTCCTTGTAATTCGGGTTCGATAAAACATCGATTAATCACACTTTTTGGTCGATCCAGAAAACTGGGAAATTCAGACATCCTGGGATAGCGATGGTCCCGAGCATCCCAAATAATTGGTTCTCTACTATATAAATATTTCTTGTAATTAATCTCTCTATCAATTTCACTGTTTTCTTTGCTGGTTTGTTGTTGTATTGTTGACGTGAAGTGTTTACATAGTTATTGATCGAACTAATCATAATGGTATTATCGATATCAACTGCAATATCGGCAGTTTGTCGGTATTGCAGATAAAGTTCAATAAACAAATTCGTAAAATAAAATCCATATTAATAAAAATGTAAAAAAAAAATATGCAAGAAAATTTTAGCATATATTTTGAAAAGAGGGCAGGAGGGGAGGGCCCAAAAACGGCTATGCTAGGGCCTACGAAAGGTATAATCCGGCTCTGTGCCTAGGGCCTACGAAAGGTATAATCCGGCTCTGGGGTGGACCCATTCATACATCCATTCTTTCCTCCACAGATCGTAAATTTGACCAGAACCAGAAAACTACCAATCTCCAATTCAGTACCCCCAGAGGCATTTATTTAGTATGGGAACATGGATGACTTTGTGACCCGACAGATTTAACGTGCACCAGTCACCATTTACTACACGGAGAGTCTTCGGCTGGCTGGATTCGAACTCCCGTTCTCACGAACATGAGTCCAGCACCCTGTCAACCAGGCTAATTTACACAAATAAATTTATGATTGATATTCACACTATTTGTCAGTGTCCTTCGACACATGTAAAAAAAAAACGAGGATTTCTATCACAATTTGTAATATAAAGCGTGCGGTATTTTTGATTCTCTAAAATTTTTTTGACATTGTATACAATACAATTTCGCAATCAACAGTTTCTTTTTATAGATAGTTAAATAGTATACGGTTGCCTGATTTTAGAATTTTGATAGGTAACTTCGTTGTGCAATTAACGATGAAAGATTTTTTTTGAGTCATCGAAATAGGTTTTTATCAGTTTCAACTGTAGGAAAACGAGATTTGAAAGATTCTAAAATCTGAGAAACATGTTTTGAATTACTTATTAACGACCATAATTCGCATAACGTTATTGCTTTAAAATTATGAGGAAAAATTCGCAAAAGTCTAAAAATCATCGAGCGGTATTTCTCATGATCGAATAAATCAACTTCTTGATTTTCTACTTTTGTTTGAAAGATTTTGTGCGGTTAAATGATACTACATCATTAAAAGTAAAAAAAAAAAAAAGAAAAACACAAATTAAAAATTTAACCTAATTCCAAGATGGCAAGTGTAGAGGCCTAGAAACAGCAACATACAATTTTATTTTTATTCTACAACCGTCGTTGAACAACTGACCCGATTTTCGGGTTTGGGACTACTAGAGTTCAACTCCGTAACCTTTTAATTTTGAACCCAATCCAGAAGACAAGGAAACTTCCGCATCAAGTATTGGGAGAAATTTTGCCTTCGCCGAGGACCTCTTGATGGAACTAACCCGCATTTGCTTTACATGGAGAGGGAGACCACGGAAACCTCCCATGGTTAGCCTGATGGCAAGGGACTCTAACCCTTGATCCGTCTACCACTGATGATATTTTACGTCAGCATTGTGGAAGGTGCAAGCCAGTTGCGGAATTCGTATCGACCAGCCATCGCTGGGATTCGAACCCGGTTCACCAGATTGGAAGGAGAACATTCTATCCTCTGAGCCATCACGGAATCTAAAGTTATTGATATTTTTTTTAGTCCATGTTATCAGATAGTTTTTTCTATTATCCGGGGACTTACGATCCGTGAGCAGCTGTTTATCGAGAATCTAACAGCTACATTTATGGTGAAATCCATAATTAAGATGCAATGATGGAAAGTGTATTTTAAGATTAATCTAATTAACCCTTCCTCTTTATTTTCTTTCAGAGCTGTCAGATTGTATGCGTTGTTCCTTTTCTTTCTTAAAAAATGTCATTTGCTTAATCAGTCGGTGGCCGATCTTTTTACAAACACCGCCAAGAAATACGGTAATAAAGTGTGCTTCATCTACGAGGATCAAGAATGGACATTCAGGGATGTGAGTATTTAATTATTTTTTTAATGCTTTTGTTTTGTAGTAAGGATTCAGATACACTATCTTACAATAATGAAAGAGACACAAGATACTTTCAGCTATTGGCAATTATTATTTGTTTTTTAAATTAAGAAATAATTTTACAGGTGAAATAATTTTACAGGTGTTTAAATTATTGGAATTCTCATACGCATCAATAAAGTTTAACCCTTCCTGAAGCACCGGCTGTAAATGACAAACGAAAAAGTGTTTTTGAAAACCCTTTGGCAGAAAATATAGTAATGAACTTGTAACTTGCTTTCAATCGATTTAATTATCGTACGCAATAAGTGCATAGTTTCGTAAACCTAGCCTTAATATTCATGGAAATACGAACTTTCGGAAAAGAAAAACTACTTTTGTTGCATTTTATTCCTTTTATAAAAAATTTTATAAAATTCTCGGATTAAGTTTTAAATTTAAAAATATCATTTTAAAATTCGAAATATATTCGATGAAAATTGCGGAAAAGTGGGCAAACAAAATAATCCTTTCATACTGCGCATGCGTACAAAACGTTTTAAAAAAAAAAGGTTCAAATAATTTTGTAACAGCTGGTCTGGGAAGCAAAGACGGTGTTAATATTTCTCAGTGTTAATAATAATAATATTAATTTCTAAACTCCATCAGATGGCGCTCTGCGCAGTAATATAAAAAGATGTATTTAGTTTCCTCTATGTCACTGAACACCATTCCTTGTTTTTGTTATTAAATATACTTTGTTAAAGGCGTTTGTAATGCGTTAAAACCCAGAGATCATCGTATTTAACAGACGGTTTGGACGCAATGCTGACCACATTGCCGAAATCATGCCTTTGTCACGAAGTTGTGAATCCTTTTAGAAGTGTCTTACTTTGCTTTAAGACTGAACATTTGTGTACAACATAGATTGACAAATGTGTTTGTATTTTGTAACAGGTGGATGAATTCAGCAATAAAGTAGCCAATTGCTTTTTAATGAATGGTTATAAGAAAGGGGACGAGGTTGCCCTTATCATGGAAAATTGCCCGGAGTTTATTTGCTTTTGGCTTGGAATGGCCAAAATTGGCGTGGTCACAGCGCTCATCAATACAAATGTGCGAGAAGACGCTTTGGGACATTCCATCAACATATTAGATGCAAAGGCTGTTATATTTGGGAAAAATATGTCTCATGGTTTGCATTATTTCTATATTTGATACCAATCAATCTCGTAGTTTTATTACATTAAATGTTTTCAATCTTGTGCTTATCAGGAATTCTTAGACAGTCTTCGAAGCTTTGCGAATATGTTACAGTGAATGACCGAAGGCCAGAGACTTTCACCGGTGCATATCAACAATTGCATAGTCACTTTGGTAAATGTCCTAAATATTTGTTTTATCCGATTTGATATTATTATATTTAATCGATGTTTTTAAATATCCGCCGAGGATAGATTAGGAGGAGCATCAGTGTAGGGTATACTACACTAATGGATGGAAATTAACTAGACCTGGTGCATATTTCGGACATTTACCGAAGCGACTATGCGATTGTCAACATTCACCGGAAGTCAACAACCACNATATATATATATATATGCATGCATGCTAAGAGAATCATTTTATAATTTCTGAAACGTTTAGACCATGCAATTTCTTATACTTTCTTTATCAATGAAGTTAAAAGCTTTTTGAGGTTTGAGGGACCGACGATAAATTACAAGCAGAAAATAATGTTTTTGAACATTATGTGTCAAAAATTGTATCAATAGATTTGTAACTTGTTACAGTTATTTTGGTTATTCTATGCACACAAAAAAATCACTCAATTTCGTAAGCCTAGCTAAAAATATTTAGGGAAATGCGGACATTTTTACAAAGAAAAAACAACTTTTTCTTTTTGTCGTACCTTATTTTGCTATAACTTTAAGAAATATTCAATGAATTTAAACAAAATTTTAAGAGAATTTTAAAAATTAATTGCAAAATTTTTGCTTTGAAATTTGAAAAAAATTTGTTTAAAACTGCGCAAACTAAAACTAGTTCTTTTATACAGCACATAGTCGGGAAAATTTAAAAAAAAAATTTTTTTTTTGCAATTTTGTAGTGAATTTTATTCGCAACTAAGAAAAAAAGTCCGATTTGAATATCTTAAAAATTAAAAAAGTTTCAAGCAATTTTCAAAGTGAATTTAGTACTTTTTAAAATTAACCTCAAAATTATAGGTTTTCTACAAACATTATTTTGTATCATAAAACAGAATTTAATAACAAGTGATAATACCTTATAATAAATCATACACCAAAATACGATTTAATAAGAAAAGAAAGATACTGTTATAGGGTATGATCCCCAATAATGCTGGGATCATATTTAGTAAATCTTGTTTAATAGTACACAATGAAATGTGCGGAAAACCCATTACCATTTTGTGCATTATTTTAAAAAGTAAGAAAACAACTTGAAACGTTTTAAATTTTTAGGATATTTAAGTTAGACTTTGTTTTAATTAGTTCCAAATACGATTCACTACAAAATTAAGAAAAAAACTTTTTTTTTAATTTTTTCCCACGCATGGGAATGAACTAGTTGCATAACTCATGTATTGCGCAGTTTTTAACAAAATTTTCTCAAATTTTAAAGCAAAAAAAAAAAGTTTTTGAAATTATAGCAAAAGGACGTATGACTTTTAAAAAAAAATTGGTTTTTAGAAAATTTTCAATATCTCCATAAATATTTAAACTAGGCTTACAAAATGTTGTGTAATATAATAACCAAAACTACAAAAGTGTAGCAATAGCAGTTACAAATCTATTGCTACACTTATTGGCATAGGGTGCTCAAAAACATTATTTTCCGTTTTTAATTTATTGTCGGGCCCTCAATCCTCTAAAAGCTTAACGCTTCATTGATATGTTTGTATAAGAAATGGTCTAAATACTTCTGAAGAGAAATATAATATATATATGAAAAAGAGGTTTATTTTCGATATTTTATAATTATTAAGGTATTTCGGGGTTTATTAGCCTAATTAACAGTTGTGCTTAGTAACAGGTTTTAGTAAGATATAAGTTTCCAATTTAGTTTATGTGCTCTTTATCTTAAGTGACACATTCTAAATTCTATCACAAAGATTCTTTCTCAAAAATTTCAATTCTTTAATTGCTTATTGACACAGAGACTTGTGGGAAGCCATGTGAAACATAAACAAGCTAATTATGTATCGAAGTTGCCAAGTACTTCAAACAAAAATGTATCACGGTTACAATAAAATACATTAACAAGTAATGAATCTAAGTTAAGTGAAAAAAGTGAATAAGAAAAAATATTTCAACTAATTCGAGATGCGATACAGCTCTGTTTTTAATTACCCTTTAGTCAATTAACATTCGAACATGTAGAGAAACGCCATTTTACTGATAAAGGTTAGCTGGCGCTGACGTCATGGATCACATGTGTGAGTATGGGAGGTCTTCTTCTTGAAGTGCAAGTACCCAATCCGTCTGAGTTTAATTAATTAAGTTTTAAACTGCAGCACAACTAGTTTTTAACTTACAGCTCAGTTTGTTTCAGTTTTTCGTTCTCAACGCGAGGAAATAATTCATTCAGAAATGAAAGAGAAATATACATTTGGACTCATTTCATAACTAAATTATTTGAAGAGTCTCATAAAAGTTTTATTTTTCAGCTCTTGAGGGAGCGATTCCATTTATAAATAAGAGGGAAACAATAGAATATTATTATTATTCTGAAAAAGGTAAAATCGACACTACAACATTCCCAGCCGCCAAATCTCTGAACACTTTACTCGATGATGCTTCCTCAGCACACATTGATTTGGGAGACAAGAAACCCGGCTTTACAGGTATTGTTCTTTTTTGTAGTATTAATATCACTAATAAAGTCAATATTAGTTCTGATACATAATTATTCAATTATTATTTTAATTAATTTTCTTTTCTTCCGTAAATTTAAATTTTAAAAATTATATTTCTTACATATAGATGGAACCACTGATTCTCGATCGAACATAACATGTTGCCACCGCTAAAAAAATATTTAAACATATTAGACGGGCAGAAATAAAACCATGCCAACATATTTTAGGCTTAAGAAAAAAAAGAAATAAGCTCTCCATGACGCTGCAGACAAAGTTTCGATTTCAAAGAAAAAAGAAATAAGCTCCCCATGACGCTGCAGACAAAGTTTCGATTTTAAAAAAAAAGAAATAAGCCGATGACCACTTTCTCTCAGGGGGTGACGTCACTACCCATGCCTCACGATAAGGGAAGAAGCAGAGAGGGACTATGGCGTCACATCCGCCTACTATATTACGGCTACTAGAGAATTTAATCATTTGAACAATATTTTTTTGTTTTTATTGTTTTAATTAAGAATCAGAAATTCTTACCTACAGTTCAAAGTGGATCGTTTTCAATACTAATTCAGGTGAATATCACAAATAAAGAGGGTGAAAAAAAATTAGACAACAACCATTTTGACAATGGGTAACTTGTGATCACCTTTTGGTGATCACAATTTTTTAAAAATTGATTTTGAAAATTAAAGAAATTTCAAAGATGAACTGTTTATCGTTGATCTAAATAAGCGCAAATTACTTATAACACAGGTAGGAAGTGAGGTGCGATCGGAAGACTTTACCTTTAACGCAGAAAAAGACACCAGTGTTTCATGTTTTTTTTTTCTTTCTGAANAGCAGTGGGGACAAGTGAGGGAATGACATATTGGTATATTTTAATTACCTAAAATAAATAAAAAATAAAAATTGATAATTTTATTTTTATTTTTTTGTTAGCTTGCATTCTGAAGGTCACTTTCCCTGAATTTTTTCTTTTCGTAAGCTGTAAAACAAGCATAAAATATACTGGGGACATGAAAATGACTGTTTTTGTGAGAATGACCCATATATATTCGTTTGTCTTCTTCGGCCATCACCCTAATGAGCCGTCCCAACTAGTCGTCTCCATCTGGCTCGCTCAGACACTAGGTTTCTCCATTTATTGATTCCCATGGTTTTGAGATTTTTTTCCCCCAGAGCGTTGGTCTTCTTCTTTTTCGGTTGCCTGCCTCAATCAAAATTCTTGATGGTCCCTTCAAAACATTTTGAGGGTTTATGTTGGCTTCAGTACGATTCATGATGGTATGGTCAAACATAATTTGATGATCATCATCATCCGACATTTTTAATTATGCATTCAGAGGTTTTGATATTCCAACAAACTTCCATTATTCCATGATGGAAAATACTACTTTAATATTATGATGGTTAACCATCAAGATAAGATTGATTCTCATGGACTAACAATCCGTGATGGTCCATGATGGATCCAACTCCGAAATCAGTCTGAATTCATAGATTGGGGTGATGGTTGTTCATGATTGTTCCAACACTTGACTTCTAAGAATCTATGAGGGAAATTTCTGATGAACAAACCATCAAAACAAGTTGCTATTCTTATGTTGGACCATCATAAATAAGTCCTACTTTGAGGTGATAGTTACTTATGTTGGTTACTATCAAAAATATAATGGTTCATGATGGATTTATTGATCGATACCATCAATATTATGTTGATCCATCAATTTAAAACCATCAAAAATTTTTACTTAGGTGTAAACTTTCCGAAAGTAAACTTCTTAACTATGTCACCATCACCCCTTCTATGGATGTGATATAGGCCATCTTATTTTATAGAATTTAATAACTATTCACTTGTCTGCTCCTTTGAAAATAACACTTTAAGCAAAAAGTAACTCTCTACTACACCCTACGTAGCAGAGAAGTGGAGGCCCTTAGTATGTACACGAGTGGATTTTAAAAAATCCTGCCTAGGGCTATATTTTTAAATTGCGTAAGAACTACAACATATAGTGATAATCTGATTGCAGATTTGATATCAGCAATGAAAAAATATATATTTTAGATCAGTTCTAAAATTTCAAGCAACATAAACCAAAACTGCTCCCCAGTGTTTAGTATGAATTTATGTATAATAATAATTCATGTATTTAAAACAAAATAAAAAATAATAAATTTAAAATAAAATAAATTCATGTATTGGATTTTTTTTTCTTCCAGTTTCCATTATTAAAATTTATAAACATTTTTTTAGACAAATTACTCTACATCTATACATCGGGAACCACTGGTTTGCCTAAAGCTGCCATAATAAGGAATAGTAGGTAAGAATTACAGAAATTTTTTTATGTGATGAAAGTATCGCGATTTTAATTTTACTCAAAACAGGTAACCAAAAGTTGTTTAAGGAATAGTAACAAAGAATTAAGAGCCTTTTTTTTTAAAGCTATTATAGTATTGTGCTTTTATTTTTAAAATTGATCGCCATTTTTATGTTGAATAGCTTTCTCAGTAAAAAGAGGTATAATTTTTTAGACGTCAATGTAATTAATTAACATTAAAGTTCTGTCTTTGAATTTTTATTCAGCGTATGTGTTTTTTACCTTGCATTTGAAAAAACAAAGAGCTGACGTTGTTTTTCAAAGTTACATTGCAGTTTTTAAATGTGACTATTTTTTGTCGTTTTAATTGTCATTAGTGTTTTATTTCACAAACTGTCAAGGATCTCTTTTATTTATAGTTTTTTTCTCTTAAAAAAAGAACGTTAATTTTCAACTTCAATGTATTAAAATAACAAAGCTTCAGTTTTTAAGGTATTTGATTACCGAATAGTGTTTTCAGGAGGAAAATGGCATCTCTAATTATTTTATATGAGTTTTATTTATAAATCTGTTTGTCTTGCAAAAACTGATTTTAAATTTTTAACTTCAATGCAATGTAACCACATTAAAGTTTCTTTTTATATATTTTCAATCACAGTATGGTGTTTACAACAGGAAAATGATTTTGCCATCTCTATCTATTCAGTTGTGTCGTTATATATATTTTCGTTTGTTGATAGCAATGAGTTTTACAATATAGTATTGTTTTATCAAAAAAAAAATGAATAGAAATAAAATAAAAATGAGCAAATTAAAAACGTAAAAAAAAATATATATATATCGAATGCATGAAAATTCACCTTATTATAAATCAGAGTAGAGATTTATAACTAATAATCCTTTTGTAAAAAAATAATGTATAAGTTATTAAAAAATATTCACGTCGAATCAAGGAATAATCATCTTAAAGAATCCTAATAAATTTAAATTCTTATTTATTTTTCTCTACTTTCGTTTACTTTACTAACAACGAAACCATCTGTTCAAAAATACCACTGAAAGAAAGACATAGAAGGTTTGCTGTTTAGGACATCTGATGCTTCAAATTTGTTTTTGAAATTCCTCAACAGATAGCGTTAGAAAAAAAACTGCTCAACAGTATTTTTAAAATGAAACATTCGCAGCATCAGCACTGTGTTATTAACAGGAGCTAATATGTAGTTTAAAAAAAATTTATTTTACAATTTTTGTTGTGACAAACATTTTAACTATGACATATTTTAAAGTAAGTGCCTTCCATTTTTTAATTGATTTTCAACACCCTGTGTACTATAGGTTTTTATGGATGTGCGTTGCTGCGAGATACATGGTTCAAATCCCGGGCTTTGAGATTTTTTACAATCCTCTTCCACTTTACCACTCTTCGGGGGGTATTATTTTTGTAGGATACATTTTGGTTTTTGGCAGCACAATGGTTATCCGCAAGAAGTTTTCAGCCTCAAATTTTTGGAAGGATTGCATCAAGTATAAAGTAACTGTAAGTAATATATTTTTTTATTTATACGGGAAAAGATTAAAACTCATTTATACCTTGTTACACATTGTTTCCTTACAATGCAATAGATACTTTATGAGAGAATTAAAGCGTTCATTAATCAGTAATTAATGTATATTAAAAACAAAAACTCGAAATATTTTTCTTTTTTTTTGCATTTATTGCAACTAACAAACATTCAAGCGAAAAAGTAACTGCTATCGTAAAAGCAGACTGATTCCAGACATGGAACCCTACCATGAGCTCCATGGAATGAAATTCCATCTGGGAATGAAATTCCATCTATCTCATTCCGTTCCAACGGGAATTATTTCCCCCCACCACGAACACCTTGGAAAGAGTTTCTTGGAATTGGAATCGGTTTCATTCCAACCAGTCTCCGGCACCTGGAATCGTCGTTCCAATGAGGGAATGATGAATTTTTAAGGACTAAATACGATATTTCGTCGATGAATGTCTTAATTTTTTTCTATTTCATAAGAGAAGATAACAAAATTTCTAAAAGATAAACGTGCCCGAGCCATTTTCAAGACGATAATTAAAAGAGAAATGTTTTGTTTCATCAGTATGTGTGAACGAAAAGATACTTTCAGAGTTAACTAAGAAATTACGGAAAACTAAAAATAATTATGCTCTCATTATATAATAATTGTTACTATTTCTATGTTATTATTACGGGATGTATTACTTGGCCAATACCTTTTTCTGAAGTTCCAATTATTTCTTTTTTTAATTTTCTTTCAATGAACTTTTAATTCAACAATATTTAACTTCCTTTCGAACGATAGTTCTTTATACTATACACCAATGGCAGCACATTTAAAAGAATTTTTTACAGGCATGATGTATTATAAAGTAAACAATTTATTTATAATAAGAAATACAAAAAAGAATAAAAACGTTTTAAAAATATTTATGAAATTTGTATATCTTACTCATTTTAAAAAATTTTATTCTCATTCTTCCATTAAAATATATACTATAAAAGCTGCGGAAGTAGTTCCCTGAACTATAATTTTTAAGTATTTCATACGTAAAATGATTTTACAAATCACGAAAAAAATTTTACGCAGTTCTAGAAATTAATTTCTTGTGAACATATTTATTTAACTATCAGTAAAAACAGTCACTTTTATAATGTAACAAATAAACCAAAGTAATAAGCAAAGTAGTAACTTTTTAGTCATTCATATTGTTACAATTTTAATTGAAAACAAATTAACTTTTCTGAATTTAAATTCATTTCAAAGAGATCAAGCTAAGTGTTAATTTTTTTGTCTGATAAAATTTGAATTCTTTCTGGAAATTAGTTTTGATTTAAAAACTAGTATAATTAGTAATCTATCTACTTGCAGTTCTCAGGCACGAAATTTTGAATCTTAATTCATTAGAATATGATCATTATTTTAAGAGTTGTACTTTTTAAAAAATATTTAAAATAAATAATGAAACGTATTAAGGGATACATCAGAAATATTTATTATGAAAAAATGATTTTATNAATCCTCTTCCACTTTACCACTCTTCGGGGGGTATTATTTTTGTAGGATACATTTTGGTTTTTGGCAGCACAATGGTTATCCGCAAGAAGTTCTCGGCCTCAAATTTTTGGAAGGATTGCATCAAGTATAAAGCAACTGTAAGTAATATATTTCTTTATTTATATGGGAAAAGATTAAAACTCATTTATCGTGTTTCCTTACAATGAAATAGGTACCTTATGAGAGAATTAAATCGTTCATTAATCAGTAATTAATGTATATTAAAAACAAAATCTCGAGGTATTTTTTTTTTTGCATTTATTGCAACTGGCAAACATTCAACCGAAAAAGTAACTGCTATCGTAAAAGCAGACATATTATAGAAATGGGGTTCTTATTCGGCAACTCTATAAGGCCTGTTTACACGGTCCAAGTTCTTGAATGAAGACTGATTGATATTGATGAGAACTGGCTTTGCTTCGAGCTTGGGTGGTGTAAACGATCATCCAAGTCCTTGGACGATAGTAGAGCATGTTCTACTTTCCATTCAAGTTTTTCTCCCTTTACCAATTAGCTTCTTAAGTTTTGTGACGTCAACAAGCCGGCATCAGATTATGTCATTTTGTTGTCTGTTTTAATATTTTTTGTCCAAATAAATTATTTGTTATGGTCTATTTGTGTTATTATGATTTTAATTAACTTTATTCAGTAAACTCATGTATGTATGATTTTATAATCTTGAATATGAACAAAGCGCATGCGCAAGTTTTTCATCCGACCTATCAGTGACGTTCAAGAACTTGGATAGTGTCGACGAATCATCCAATTTCTTGGACAGAGAAATTCCTCAAAGTTCTCAGATTCAAGAACTTGGACTGCGTAAACACAGGCCTTTAGCATATGGATGGTTGACTGAATGTCAACAATAACAAGCTTCTTAAAACCGGAAGAAACTTCCGGTGTATCCCTCCGCTCATGTTATTCTTACGAGGCTTAATATTCTAGGGAAATTTGTTAATTCGATTTATGTTTAAATTTGTGCGTTATTTTACCTTTCCTGTAATTTATAAATTCTAACGGGTTGTGAGCCTAAAATAAATTTCAGAAAATTAATATCACAACCTAAAATTAAGCTTAAAATTAATATCACATATCGGCTCACTATATACTTGTTGTTCATAAAATTCCAAAGTATTCACATTAAAAAAAATGTTTTTTAATGAAATTGTTTTCCTAGGCGACCCAATACATCGGCGAAATATGCAGATACCTTCTGAATCAACCGAAGACTCCAGAAGAGACGCAACACTCGGTGAAAGTTTTGATGGGAAATGGACTTAAACCACACATTTGGACAGAGTTTCAAGATAGATTCAAAATCGAACGAATCGTCGAATTTTATGGTTCAACAGAAGGAAATGCTAATTTAAGTAAGACATAATTTGACTTTTTGTTTTTGTTGTAATACAATTGTACTAAACATATCGATTAATATAATAGTTGTATTAAACATAATTGTAGCCGAACCAACAATTTTGTTTCGAGATTTAATATGTCAGATAAATGCCAAAGTTTGAAAAGATATAAATGCGAGGCAAAAGATATAGATGCATTATTGAGGTTACTAATTTTTGGAAAGAGATATTTCATTATTTTTAATTTTTTATACTTAATTACTGAATCAAGGGTATATATATATATATATATACAGTGGCGTACGCAAGGGAGGGGTTTAGGGGTTTGAACACCCCCCTTGAGCTCAGACGAAATGGCAAAAATAAACATTTTAGTAGAAATAATGCGGGTATTATTTTTTAAAACTATATATTTTTATTTGCTTTATGCCTACCTTTTTATCTCACGGTATTTCTCAAATACTGAAAAAAACATTTACTATTATAGGGTTGTACTTTTGAAACTAAATTCACGTGATACTGTTATGGACTGGTTCCTTTCTGTTCTGCCAGTCGCGATAGTTTTCGAGACTGGCTGTCATTCGTGAGGTCTTAACGCGATGATTCTGGAATCTTAGACGTTCTGTCGTCTTTGAGACAATTCGAGAATTTTGGAGATGCGGTGAAAAATTATATAAAAGGGGGACGGAGTACAATGTAAGTTTTTCTGTTGTACAGAAATGTGATACTTCCGTTGAAGAAAACGTTTCTAGCATAACAAAATCTGATGAATGTGAAAGTGGCCCTCAAAGTGTTACTTCCCACCCATATGACATTGGACTTTTTT